TTATATTTCATTGTTTGTAATCTTACTATGCAGATTGTTATTCTCTCAGAGATATTGCTGATATATTTCTCAGTTTAAAATCTATATATCAGTGCACTTTACAAAGTTGTTTATTAGAGAATTTGTGATGTTGAGTCATTGGTTATATTTGAACAATGAATATTTATATCTGTTGTTTTATTTATTTCAGAAACTACCTCAAATACACTAACATGTGTATATGGTCAAATCTTGTGCAATAAACGGTCAAGCTCAATATAATGACTCGACTCCCTGACAAGAGTTCTGCAGCGGTCAATAATTATTAACCGGCATTCAGTGGGGCAGTCCCCAACAATGACTGTATGTGCTGTTAATATACATGCCATGTTTAAACCCCATTCAGGTGCTCTTCTATAAACCATGGGTAAAAAGAAGGGGAAAGACAGAAGTCCTCGAGCAGACAGCAGCACTGAGACAGCAGGTACATGTATGACAGCTGCCCTGAGCAATGAGATGCTGCTGACAGTGATTTTAATCATGAACTGCTGCTTTGTAAGGGGCTTACTGCACTCACATCCGTAAATGAACTTGCCAGTTTGTGATTGCTGTGACCGAGCTAATGAGAGTAGTTGTGGGCGATACATGTAGCCACGCCTCTAGAGGCAAGAGGCAGTGCAGAGTTTGACCCATAGTCTAGACCAGGGGTCACCAAACTCGGCCCTGGAGGGCCAGTGTCCTGCAGAGTTTAGTTAAAAAAAAAAGCCACTTAAACAAGCACATCCAAACACATAGTAATGAGGAGCCTCACACATGGGGTCACTATCATCTGTGCAGTCGCTCAAATAAATAATCTTAGATTCTGATAAAGCAAAAGTTTTTAGGTTGTTCAAATAAAGCTGTGTTTTAAATGTATTGTTTAAATAAAGTAGCTATGAAATGTCACAAGATTGTAGAGCTGTCTTTCTTTCATTTTGTGGGAGCAGCAGGACTATTGCAGCCTACTTTAATCTAACATTTACATATTTGTATTCTTGCATTTATTTAACAACATGCTTTAATGGAAAGCCTCCTAGTTAAGACGTGAACAAAGAATTACAAAAATAAACAGTGATATAAAACTTGATTTTTAAATAATGATTTACTGTATGTGAATCGAATCTATCAAACTAAAAACAAAAGGACTCAAAAAGATGAGCTAAACAAAGACAGAAATGGTTCATCTGTTCCGTGCTGATAAATTAGTAGGCTAGGGTTCAAACACTTCAAGCACTTGAGATCGCGCGTGGCGTGATGTCATCATCGCTCGCTGCACAAATAGAAAGTGAAATAAATGTTCAGAGTTGATGTTTCGCCTTTTAAGAATCGATTCTTTACAATACGGAGTATCATAGTGTACCTTTATAATGAATTGACCTGTAGCTACTTGAGAGAAAATGAGAGGATTTGTATAGCCTAAATCTGTATGTTATCAAATGTTAGTCAAGGTGAGTGCTGCTGAGTTCTCGAAACAGCTATTACAGGTGACTTCCGCTTTAATATGTTTCTCTGACGGACTTATTAGTTCTTTGAGATTTTTTATGTGTTGTTTCATTACCATTTCGTGATGTCTGTGGTTCATTTTAGCATTTGTGTTAATATACGACTGACTTTATGTATTTGAGTGAACACCGTGTCTCATGCTCCTGTTCCTCTGACTCTCAGGATCCGTTCAGCAGAATGTGTTTGTTTGTCATTTCCATCCTGAGTCATTGGAGATGAGATTCTGTTTCAGCTGTTCATCTCTATCATGGATGACACACAAGCATCTAGAGATGAAGATTTTTCTCCACGATGCAGGTACTTAAATGGTAGTAGAATATGGCAGTCTCTATCATGTTTTGTGGGCGTTTTGTTTTAGGTTAAAAGTGACACCATTTATTTAAGACCTTAAAATAAAATGATCATTATGATAAAGGATTCAATATTTTCTGTTATAGTTCCTTTCAGCAGAAGAGATCAGAACCAGAGCCCAGCTGTGTGTCTATGAAGAGTGACTGGTCTATGGGTCACCCGGTACATTTTAAGAGTGGAGATACACAGACTAATCCCAGGTGTAACATTTATTGCTATTGACATTTTTATATTAAGGTGTTTTTATATTATTATTTATGGTATTATGGTATTCATTCTAGGTATTGTAATTTTATCTTAAATATTAACGAAGGGCGTAGGTTTGATTTTGGGATTGGTGGGGACATAACTGCAGACAACAGACATTTAATTGTTTGATCAAAATTATTGCTAGGGACAATTTAGTAGCTGCTGCATATTGGTAGGGACATGTCATAGCATCCCTACTACGTCCTTGAAAATCATAAGTGAAACTTTGGAAACTATAGTTCTCTCCTGAAATATAAGAGGTCAAGCAACAGATTAATAAATGAATCCACATTTCACAAAAAGCGTACGGACATAATTATAATTTAAGTCAGACATTGAAGTGAGTTGCTGTTTTTGTTGTTCTTCTGAGGAAGATGTCATTTACTTGTTTTGGCAATGTACCCACACAGATAAATTTTGGTCAGATTTTTTAATGTTCATCCAATTTTATTTTGTAAGTGAATTTTCATTCAGTTTTAAAGATGTTTTCTTTGGATTGTTTGACTACTCGAAAGAGAATATGGGAACATATAACTTAATTTGTATATCCTGCTAGCTAAATTTCACATACATAAACAAAAAAATGGCTCTAAACCTCTCTTTTCATTATTCAACGTTAATCTAGACCAGAGGTCCCCAACAACCGGGTCGCAACCCGAATTGCTACCGGGTCGCAAGAAAGTTCTGGGAAAAATGTGTATAGATAGGACACTGTTATTTATTTATGTTAATGATTGTTTTAATTATTCCGAATTTTTCTTTGTATGCGATTGATATGGAGTAGCAATTTGACAATTTCATTTTAAATAAGTAAATGAAAGATTGCCCTTACAAAAAATTACTGCAGTTTTTAAAAAAGTAATACTGCGATTGATGTGGCGTAGCAATTTGACAATTTCATGTTAAATAAGTAAATGAAAGCTGATCTGTCACATTTTAGGAGTTAAACGGATCGCAGTTGATCGGTAATGCATACGGATGAGACCCTACTGATCGGCACGCACGTGATTCGCAGATTAATTGTCCAATTTACACGTACAAGCCATTTTAAACCACAAGAAGAAGAAACTAAAGAGAGCTCAATTCGTTACTCACGCGCTGTTCTCACACACAATCAAAGCGCGCACAAGAGACGTATTTTAGACATCGCGGAAATACCGAGTTGCGTATACATACACATAAAATTAGCCTACATCAAAAACCCTTCACGGCATTGTCATTCTCTGTGCTTTAAATATATTTTTTCTTGCTTATCCGAAAAAATGGTCTGATCTGTGACTCAAAAAACCCACAATATAATGCGTTGAACCACTATATAATGCTATTATAATACTATATAATCGCCTAAGACAAGTACATGAAAACTATGGTTATACAAAAAAAAACTTTTACTATAGTAAAACCACAGTTAATTATTTCTTAAGGGATTTGTATTTGTGAATATTTTTTCATTCTTTTTTCTTTGTTTTGTTTTTATAACTGTACTGCCTTAATGGCTTGATGTTTTGTACTGTTTAAAAAAGGAAATCAGAAAAAAAAGATTCACGATACGTGCTCCGAAGTCCCGATCTGAATCAAAAGATTCACGACCCCACACAGATGTCCCAATCTAAATAAAATGATTCATGATATGCGCTCCGAAGTTCCAATCTGAATCTGAAGTCCCGATCTGAATCAAATGATTCGCGATATACACTCCGAAGTCCTGATTTGAATCGAATGATTCGCGAACCTGCATCAAAGTCCCGATCTGAATCACGATCCGTGCTCCAAAGTTCCAAACTGAATCAAAAGATTTGCGAAACCGCCCCAAAGTTTCGATCTAAATCAAATGATTTGCGATCCACAATCTGTAGTCCCGATCTGAATAATGATTAGCAAACCATCATTTCAGATCGGGACTTCGAAGCGCAGATCAAATGATTCGCAATTCGCGCTTTGAAGTCCCTGTCTGAATTAAATGATTCGTGATATAAGATCCGATTGGAGCGCTTCGAAACAGTGAATCATTTTGCGACGCAATGGTTTAACTGATTCAGAGTTTTTAAAAACGCTGTGTCATCTATCACTATACGTGCTTAAATCATTACAAGCAATGTCGAAATTCGAAAATGAATGGCTCTTTTGATCTGATGTTTGCTAGTGAATTGTTTGAACTGAATGATCGAAGTCACAAGTTTTAATCAATCGGAGCGGTTATAGCGTAAATGACTAACTCAATTGATTTGGTTTGTTTTTTTCCTCTTTTCACGTCTTTACTCATGTTTACACGACACTGTCAATACTACTACTGGCTCGCTAGTTTTATGACATTAACTGAAATAAGCAAAAAACTTATGATTTTTACAAATAAAATATCCATATTTTCATTCCAAAGATAACATCCAACACAAATCTATGAACACATTCAGGTGAGGTAACAATAGGTTACTGTCGTAACCCCGGTTCACTGAAACATCGGGTGGAGAGTTCCACCTATGGGAAGGACATCCATACCTGACCTCTGCTGCAGAAGCATCCAATTGCACCAAGTCTGGCTAGACAGACAAAAGCGCACAGCCAATGCCCGGTAAGGCCCACCGGGCGTGGGCCCAGTAAGGCCCGCGCAGAAGGGTTGAGGGTCCTTAGTGGCAATCAGCGCTCCACACGTGGCTGGGCAGACCCATAATGAGCTGTTCCTGGGAGGAGCAACAGATTTAGAGAGCGACATATCAGCAAAAATCTCATTAAAGTCTGTTGCAGGCAGCCGTGAAAGGGGAGCAGGTGAGATAATGCAAGAACGTGGGCAGCTCAGGATGCAAAACACAACTAACATTGGCTGAACAGAAGACTGCCACATCTGGCAGAGGCTGATCTTGGGAGATTTCCTCCTGAAGACACAGCCAAACTGTGTTAGTGCAGAGATCGCGAGAAGCGAATGTCAACTTGACAACAGCAGCGCATACATGGACAGGCATGGACTGGCCATCTGGAGCACTGGGAGAATTCCCGGTGGCCTGGCAGCTGACCTGTGTTTTTTTTTTTTTTTGCCTTCCCAAAGTGATGTACCAAAGTGATAATTTCCAAAGTGATCATTATCATCATTCGATAATAAATTAATAATAAATCATGAATCGGCTCGTCTGTTCTGCGCTTCTGTCACACAGTTTCGAACAGAGTAATCGTTGCACGGGACTTAATGAAGGAGAGGAAGCGGCCAGAAACAGCAGTACTGTAGTTTTGCCTTTATTAAAGGCACAATATGTAAGATTTTTTTTTTTAAATATCCAAAAACCACAATAACAGTTTTATATATTTTGCTGACTTGTGTACTTACATTATCCCAAGTGTTTCAAATAATATTTAAATCCAGAGAAATAAGCTACTTCAATTAGTGACACGGACTGTGTCCTTAGTGCCGCCTGCCAATGACGTCATACACCCTCGATTTCCCGTTTTGTTTTGTAGACAAAAAACACCAAAGACGCTTTAATATGTTATACGTTTTATTAGACAGGTGACGACCGCACAGAGTAGCATTATAACAGAACTTTCAAATGTATCTATTAAGATAAAACCAATCTGCTTTACCCCACATACGCATGACTGAAAGAAGCGGAAGCGGTCGACTGTGGCATAATAAAAGCTCTGTTGCTTTCAAGCCATGTGTTGCGCTCGTTCAGCGGCCTCGTTTCGCTTTGACGGCTTTCCGCCTCACCCTGCTTCATTCTACGACGTTAATAAATCTTTAATACATTAGCTCATCCATGAACATGAGTCCCGTCGGATTGCTAGAGCAGACAGCAACACAAAAATTACTATAAGTCAGAGCCTAATAATGCAATAGTATGTTCAGTGTTAGGCTTTTTCAATAAATGTACTAATTTTGACATTTAGGCACTTTAAAAAATGTGTTTTAATATATTTGTATGAAATACAGGTTTGTTAAATCTAGGGTATTCAAGTCATTTTAAGATAATTAACAACAGTCTGTGCTAACAAATTGCAAAAAGGTGGTTATTTTGCAACAAGGTGGAGACCGTTCTGTTCATAACAGTAGACCTGCTGGTAAAGAAGTGACAGGTACAAGAAAAAAAGGAAGAGACAGAGATATTGGGGAAAATGAAGAAAAGGAAAAGGGATGTGAAGGTGCAGTTCAAGAGACAACATTTAATTATTTTCCACGACCCCAGACTAAAGATTTAGACCTTTTTATGTGATGGCCATGTAAATAATAGGGTTGTTTGTGGTTTCAGAATTTGTTGTGGGTGTTTAGGATGGCCTGGATGAGTGTGAGATTTCCCGACCTGAAATTGCCATGGGTCCCGACCATAGGTGGATCTCGAACACGAGATGATGAAAGACAGCCGGTTTACTGCTAACTAGTGAAAAACTCTATTAATATGATGAGCTGCACCTCAACATACATGTTAGATGGAAACATTGTGCAGCGGTTACATACACATATATTTAATTGTTTGATCAAAATGATTGCTATAGGGACCATTTAGTATTCGTTGGATATTGGTTATATGCGTTGGATATGTCCTTAGCTACCCTACTAAATTGTACACCTTTGAATTAACATTGTTTCTTACACTCAAAGACACATCTATGAGAGCACTTAGTTCAATTTACAGTTTTTGTATGGCGTAAATAAACTTTGAAGTGCTTTTTAAAGTGATTTTTAAGGATAAATTAATATGTGATTTTTTTTAACAGAATAATTCAGAGCGTTTACTTACATCTCTTTTTGTTATAGTTCAGTTCATCAGATGAGATCAGAACCAGAGCCCAGCTGTGTGTCTATGAAGAGTGACTGGTCTATGGGTCACCCGGTGCATTTTAAGAGTGGAGATGCACAGACTGATCTCAGGTGTAACATTTCTACAAAAGATATTGAAATTTTTATATTGTGTATTTTTAGTATTGTTATTCATAATAGCCATTTTTATTGTTGTCTTAAATTTTTACATTTTTGCTCACACACAGAGTGACACATCTATAAGAGCACTTAGTTGAATTTATAGTTTTTGTATCAGCATAGTGTAAAAATATATATAAAGTGCTCTTTAAAGCGAATGTTATTTTTATTTTATTAATATTTTTTTATACAGTAATTCACTCTCATTAACTTAAATCTCTGTTATAGTTCACTTCAGCAGAAGAGATCAGAACTAGAGCCCAGCTGTGTATCTATGAAGAGTGACTGGTCTAAGGATCATCCAGTACATTTTAAGAGTGGAGATACGCAGAGTGATCTCAGGTATAGCATTTCTGTAAAAGATATGATTTGATGATGATACAGAATACAGAAAAGGCATTGTGTTTATTAAGTCATGTAATAATTATGTATTTTAATTTTACAGTCATGAAGTCATCAACACATTTAGATTAAATCTGATGAAGAAGTTTCTGTGTCTGTATGAAGGAATAGCAAAGCAGGGAAACCCAACACTCCTGAATGAGATCTACACAGAGCTCTACATCACAGAGAGTGAGAGTGGAGAGATCAAAACACTCAGTCTTTCAGATCTTCTTCAGGTCTTTTTCCCTGAAGCAAACAAAATGGAAATATCCAGTGGCAAATATAAAGCATTGTTCATTTTTGATGGCCTAGACGAGTGTCGTCTTCCCTTACATTTTAAAAGGAATGAGACTCTACGGCATGCAAACAAAAAGAAATCAGTGGACGTGCTGCTGACGAACCTCATTGTGGGGAATCTGCTTCCCTCTGCTCTCATCTGGATCACCTCCAGACCAGCAGCAGCTGATCTCGTCCCCTCTGAGTGTGTCCATCGAGTGACAGAGGTACGAGGCTTCAATGAGCCACAGAAGGAGGAATACTTCAGGAAGAGAATCATAGATCAGGGTCTGGCCAAAAGAATCATCTCACATCTGAAGTCATCAAAGAGCCTCGACATCATGTGCCACATCCCAGTGTTCTGCTGGATCTCAGCCGCTGTTCTAGAGAAGATGTTGAGTCGAGCAGAGAGTGGAGAGATTCCCAAGACTCTCACTCAAATGTACACACACTTCCTGATCCTTCAGACCAACATCAAACATGAGAAGGACTATGAGAAGAACGTGACGGATGAAGACATGATCCTCAAACTGGGGAAACTGGCTTTTCAGCAGCTTGTGAAAGGCAATGTTATCTTCTATGAGGAAGACCTGAGAGAGTGTGGCATTGATGTGACAGAAGCATCAGTGTACTCAGGATTGTGCACTCAGATCTTCAGAGAGGAGTTGGGCTTGTATCAGGGGAAAGTCTTCTGCTTTGTTCATCTGAGCCTTCAGGAACATCTAGCGGCTCTATATGTGCACCTCTCCTGTATAAACAACAACATAAATGCGTTTGAAGCAATCACCAAACAGAGTTTGTGGTCTAAAATTAAGGACTGGTTTCAACTCGGTTCATCAGAACATTTTTCATTATTTGCTCTGCATCAGAGAGCTGTGGATGAGGCTCTACAGAGTGAAAATGGACATCTGGATCTTTTCCTGCGGTTCTTTCTGGGTCTGTCAGTAAAGTCTCATCAGATTCTCCTACAAGGACTAATAAAACAGACAAGAAGCAGTTCTGACAGCAATGAGGAAACAGTTGAGTACATCAAGATGAAGATCAGGACCATTGACTCTCCAGAGAAATCCATCAATCTGTTCCACTGTCTGAATGAACTGGGTGATCATTCACTAGTGGAGGAAATACAACAGTATCTGAGATCTGGATCAATAAATAAAGCCAAACTCTCTTCATCTCAGTGGTCAGCTGTAGCTTTTGTGCTGTTGACATCAGAGGATAAACTGGATGAGTTTGATCTTAATACATTTGTTGGAGGAAACAATAAAGCTGAAAATATTAAAGTTTTTCAGAAGCTGCTGCCTGTGATTAAAGAAGTCAGATCAGTTCAGTAAGTATCACTAAGAACAATCACTTCACTTTTAAAAACATTAATAAATCTTTCTTAAATGAGATTTGTATTATGCTCTGTGACATTTTTGACTTCAGTCCAATGATCCATCAAACTTGTTGATTTGTGCTTTAGGTTTGTACTTTCTCTTTAATAGCGGATTCACTGTTAAACTAATCTGATCTGAACTAAGAGAGTGAAGAGTGTGTCATTGTTCTCTACAGGTTGTGGGATTGTGGTCTCACAGGTGAAAGTTGTGCTGCCTTGGCTTCTGCCCTGAGATCAAACCCCTCACACCTAAGACAACTGGATATGTCTAGGAATGAACTAGGAAATTTGGGAGTCAATCTGCTCTCTGAAGTACTGGGGGATCCTCACTGTAACCTGAAGAAACTAGAGTAAGATCATATATGACTCAGACATGAACCTCAATGTAAAGTATATTTAAAAGTGTTCAGCCTCTTTCTGCTGCTGTGAGTTCAGCTGATTGAGCTGGAAATGATTGAACACATGAGCTGCTCCTCAGTAACAGAATACTGCAGGACTGAGAGTCACTGAAACACACAATCAACATTTCAATCTTTTGATCTTAAACTCGGTCAAATCTGAGAAGTTTGTTCATCTTTCTTTTTGAAATAATGTTTTAATTGTGAAAAATCACACACAAATCACTACTGCGTACATATTAGTACAGATTTAAATAACAGTAAAAAATAATTAGCTATATAGTGATTGAATAGTGTCATTAACAAATTTTGCATAAATCAAACTTAAAAAATATAGATTATTGGGGCAATTAAGAAATATTGTTTATCTTTTTTGAATGAGAAGTTAGATATTTTATGATCATGTTTTGTGCTCTGTGACATTTGAGATCAGACTGATCTGATCTGATCTGAGAGAGTGAAGAGTGTGTCATTGTTCTCTACAGGTTGAGGTATTGTGGTCTCACAGATGAAGGTTGTGCTGCTCTGGCTTCAGCTCTGAGATCAAACCCCTCATACCTGAGAGATCTGGATCTGTCTGGAAATAAATGGGGGGGGGGGGGGGGGGGGCGTTAGTGGGAGGTGGAGGTGGTGAAAGGGGCCTATAAAGGGGCCTTCCTCTGCACCTTCATGGAGAAGGAGACATCGATTTCTTGTGTACTGTCTGCCCTGAGAGGTTACCATATAGCTGTTAGGTTGTGAAGCAGGGCCCTGTTTGACCGCAAGTTTATCAAAACCCCGAGTTGTCTGCATCCTTACTGTCTGACCCTGTTGTAAGGGTGTGGCATTGCGGTCATAGTATGCTTTGCTTTCCTTTCTCCTCCTGGTCTGCACTTCCTTGACACCACGGCATACAGAGGGTGTCAGTCTATCTTTCAGCTCAGGAAGAAAAGTTCTTGCAGATGGAGTAAAGCAGCCTGTATTTCACTGCCCTCCCTATGGCACTTCTCCAGCAGATGTTTGGTGGATCGCACGGTACGCTCTGCAAGGCCATTAGACTGCGGGTAGAGAGGGCTACTCCGAATGTGCTCGAAATGCACATGCAAAATCTGAAAATTCACTGCATTCAAACTGCCGTGCATTGTCTGTCATGAGCATTTGAGGATTGCCATGGACTGCAAAGTGTCTCTTAATTTTTGCAATTACAGTGACACTCCACGAACACGAACCAACCAGAGAATGAGTCTACTAGAATCAAGTATATTTTGCCATGCCATTCATATATGTATGCAACAGTTAACATCCAGGGAATGTCAGGAACATTGTGCAGATGCATAGGTTCTCTTGAGTGATGGGGCTTGAGGGCATTACAAATGCTCTCTCTATATGACCATACATCGTGGGTCAGTATATTGTTTCTTTTGCCTTGCGCTTTGTGGCCACCAGACCTGGATGGCCTTGATGTAGCTGAGTCACATAGTAAGTTTCTAGCTACGGTGGTATTCAGAGTCTCTGTCCACAAAAGATCAGTCCATCCTCAACAACAAATTCCTCTCTTGTAGCAAAGAATGGCAGAGATCATATGAAAGCTCTTTGAAAGAGCTTGACTAGCCATGCATTATGTTAACAAGTGTTAACAAGTCTTTGGCATGTGGAATCAGATTCTGTCCATTGCGACGAGAGAACTCGAGGTGTCATTACCTCTAGCAAGTCATCCTAAAGAGGAGGCTCAGTGGAAGGGAGATGAGCGTGTGATAGGGCATCAGCGACAAATAGTTCCTTGCCCTATTTGTAGATTACATCATGATTGTAATGTTGGAGCTTAAGCATCATGCTTTGAAGATGTGTTGAGGCAGTGTGTGATGGCTTTTTTAAGATTGTGATGGGACGTTAGTGACCTATTTCCACAGTGACGGGTTACCGTAGATGAAGTCATGAAACTTCTGTGTTGCAAAAACTAAGGCTAACATTTCCTTTTCAATTTGGGCATACCAAGATTTAGTAGGTGTTAAAGTGCGTGAAGCAAAAGCAACAGGAGCACCCTGCTGAAGACATATGGTGCCCAGTCCATGTTAGGATCCGTCAGAACAATGGGTTTAGTGGCATCAAAGTTTTGCAGAACTGGGGGACTGGATACAGCATCATTCAGCTTTTGGAAGGCAGTATCCTGCAGGTCGTGCCATGGCCATTCAGCATCTTGTTTTAACAGTTCAAGAAGAGGGCTTGTGATGTCACTATAGTGTGGAATGAACTTTGATGAGTAGTTAGTCATGCCGAGAAACCGTTGCAGGGCCTGTTTGTCCTTTGGTTTTGGCATTTGGCGGACAGCTGTAGTCTTGTCATGGTCAGGTTTAATGTCGTCAGCAGTCAGGTGATGGCCAACATAGGAGACAGAAGAAATATGAAATTTGCACTTTTCGGGGTTTAATTTCATGTTACAGGCATGGATGTTGTGGTATCTGTTTCAATCGCTCATCATGTTCCTGTAGTGTGCGCCCCCAGACTAGGACGCCACCTACCATGATCTGACATGGTTGTCCATCAAAGTGATGTTCTATGGATCGCTGGAATAATTCACTGCCCGTGGAGATCCCGTAAGGCATGCACAAGAATCTGTACCTGCCAAAGGGCCTCATGAATGTGGTCAGCTTAGATGATGCCTCATCTAAAGGGATTTGCAAAAATACGCATTTTGCATCGAGGATGCTGAAAACATTGGCACCCGGCCTGTCAGCTATGACCTGTTCAATAGTTTTTAATAGATGATGTGGCCTTAGGAGCGCCTTGTTGAGATGCACTGGATCTATGCATATCCTTATAGAGCCATCTCGAGAAAGTCATGGCTTAGCTCCTTCATTGCAATGGGCACTTTCTTGGGTGCACATACAGTGGGCACTACTGACTCCTCTAATCACATGTGATAAAAAACAGGCAGTTTTCCAAGCACTGTGGTGTCAAACAGATCACTGATTTCCCATACCTCTGGTTCTTGGTTTTGCAGTGTATGCACATGCAGTCCTAACTCAGACCCATTGCAATGCTGTCTTACAATCCAAGCAGTGGTCTCACATTATGATCTACAACATGGAATTTGAGTTTACCTTGTTCACAGTCTAATATTGTGGTGCCCTCGGTGTTGATAGTTTGCCCACCATATGCAATGAGTTTCACTTTTTCAGCAGTGTTTATGTGAGCTGAGGGCACAATGAGGTGTAGCTGTTGGCCAGATATAACGTTGCATTTGGCACCTGTGTCCACTTTGTTTTAATTGGCCAGACCCATGTTTCAGATGTAGTGTTGTAAATATTTCACTTTTCTGAAAAACATCATCACTGTCTCACAATAGAAAGTGTCCTCAGGGGCATCCAGACTTGTGTCCAACTCATTCACTTGGTTAGACTTAGAGTTTCTGAATTGTGCTGCAACTTGTGCTGGTTCCATTTACCACAGTTGTTGCATTGTTTATTGAAAGCAAAGCACTTGAGTTTATCAGGGACATGGTATATATTGCAGTTGATGCAGAGATCTAGTATGGCACATACTTCAGCCTCGTGTTTCAGTTCTTTTGTGCTCTTTTCAGATTGCTCATATAAGCAGCATATATTAAAGGGATAGTTCACCCAAAAATGAAAATTACCCCATGATTTACTCACCTTCAAGCCATCCTAGGTGTATATGACTTTCTTATTTCAGACGAATTCAATTGGAGTTATATTAAAAATAGCCTGGCTCTTCCAAGCTTTATAATGGCAGTGAGTGGGTATTTTTTGCGCATCCATTCATCATAAAAAGTGTCCCACACAGCTCCGGGGGGTGAATAAAGGCCTCCTGTAGCGAATCGATGCATTTTTGTAAGGAAAAAAATCCATATTTAAAATTTTAGTAATCTCTAGCTTCCGCTAACTGTCATACGCGCGTTCACAATAGAACGCCTTTCCTGTGGATGACGTAAGTGAGGGCACAATGTAGGAAAAAAATACTATGGAAGTCACTGGGGACCAGCAACTGTTGGTTACCCACATTCTTCAAAATAACTTTTATGCTCAACGGAAGAAAGAAACTCATTCAGGTGTAAAACATTTTGAGAGTAAGTAAATGGCAGAATTTTTGGGTGAACTATCCTTTTAATGTTAATAAAACAACAAAACACAAAGAGAAATATCACTCACTGCTCTTGACTGAAGAACTTTAATAAAAATTGATGTATAATTTATACAGTGAAGTGTATATAGTGTTCCCCTTCAGGAACTCGAGCTGCGTCGGAAAGGCTTTGGGGGAACGCCCCCAGCGTGACCATTCTCTGAATCACATATGAAATCAGTTCAATAGATGGGCGAGACGTCATGGGCGTGTGACGTTGCGACCAAGAAGCTATAAAAGCATGTGCGGTGGAACTCTGTGTGTGTGTCAGTCGCTATCTGTTTGTGAATCTTATTTAATGTTTTTTGTCCACTTATAAGCTCCATTATGCAGCTTCAGCAAAAAGAAGCATTTGGGCGAGAGCAGACGGCATTCAGGCTGTGTGTTCCTCCCTGCCTGCGCTATATTTCGGGTGGGGACACACACAGTTTGTGTGTTGTCTGCTTGGGAGCGAAGCATGCAGAGTCAGCTCTCGAGGGATTAAGGGGCTGATTGTGCTTCTCCCCGCTGAACGCTCCGCTCCCGCTGGGCATGCTCCGAGGAGTGTGTCCGTGCTTGCGAGCTCACGGTTCAGTCCCGCTATTGCTGAGGCACGGCGGCGATTCAGATCGCGGGGATCGCACGTGGATCTAGCGGATGGGTTAGAGACGGCTCGCCCTTTCTCCGCCTGCACTCCCTAGATCCAGTGCTCTCTCTTGAGGCTCTGAAGCCCGCACTGCGGTTTCTTCCCCCTCTGAGTGAGAGCTCGCTGCTGCAGCTATTTTTCTCCAAGGAGATTGATATTGTTTGTGTGACCAAGCGGCTCACGCGCTGCCGAGGCAACGCGTGTATTACATAATTTTCAGTTTTTGATGGGAATCTACCACACCAGACCGTGTTTACTAATTTGGTTGTTTGGCTGCATTTAATTCTGAGGAATTAAATGAGGTATTTATCTGGCTATGAGAAGTTAGATATATAATTTTCTAACCTGAAAATGATATATCTAAGTGGGAATGACGGTCTGCGGATCTAAGTCTACGTGTCGGTGGCCAGTCAGTGGGCAGACACCCCCTAGTTACACGTTTCCTCCACGGTGCGCTGAGGCTGAGGCCTCTGGCCAGAGAAGCTTATGCTAAGCGGTGGATCAGGATGCTTTTTCATAGCCTCGAATCCTCTGATCTCCCCTCTCCTTTAGGGGTCAAGACTCATTCCTTCTGAAGTTGGCCTTCGGGATGCTGCAGGATGTCCCCGCCTACTTTGTCAGGTGCCTTCCTGCATTCTGCGCCACTCCTGGCTCCTTTCTCTCGCCTTAGCTGTGCTCTTCCACACTAGGCAGGGATTTGTAAGTCTGGCCGCGTGGGCATACTCGTTCCCAAAGCGTTTCCGACGCAGCTCGAGTTCCTGAAGGTGAACGTCTCCAGGTTACGAATGTAACCATGGTTCCCCGAGGGAATGAGACGCTGCGTCTCAATGCCATACTTCCGGCATCCCTGTGAGTGCTTGCTTCATTCCTAGAAGCTGACGCCGGTTCCACCGCACGTGCTTTTATAGCTTCCTGGTCGCAACGTCACACGCCCATGATGTCTCGCCCATCTATTGCACTGATTTCATATGTGATTCAGAGCATGGTCACGCTGGGGGCGTTCCCCCAAAGCGTTTCCCGACGCAGCGTCTTGTTCCCTTGGGGAACCATGGTTACATTCCTAACCTGGAGACGTTTTATTTTTATATTTGTTCATTCATTTTTTGTATGTACTGCTAAAAACACAAACTGTACCTGAAAAATAAAGCGATGTTTGTTTTATTTGTATGTTATGTGTATTTGTAATGTGTATCTTTGTTCTTTATTTTTTTATATTTTAATAATGCCCACTTTGGCCTAAATGTCTGCCATTCTTTTTTTTAAATATATTTTGTTAACTTGTTAACTTGTAAGGCTTTGTTTTTAAAATGGGGAAATTAGTTTGCCTGTACTGCTCAGACAACAACATGACAAAGAATTGTGATAAAATCGTGAATTGTGATTTTCCTGAAAAAAATCATATGACATTTTTGCCACATCACCCACCCCTATTTAAAGTACATATTAATATATGAATTGTATATTTTAGTACCTTTTGAAAAGGTACCACCCCAGTGGCAACTTATGCACCTTTTCTTTTGCACCATTGAGCATCAACATGCATAAATCTCATTCTTGTGCTCAGTGCTTGTCATTATATCTCCTCTCCTACTCTGAGAAGTCAATAACAAACTACAGACACATCATCTACAATTCATATTGTGTCATTGTTCTCTTCAGGTTGAGTTACTGTGGTCTCACAGATGAAGGTTGTGCTGCTCTGGCTTCAGCTCTGAGATCAAACCCCTCACACCTAAGACATCTGAATCTGATTGGGAATAAACAACAGAAATTAGAAGAGAAGTTTCTTTCTGATCTGAAGGATGATGAATCATGTTATAAACTGAAGACATTATACTATTGTGAGTATATTTTTAGTTAAAGCTTTTTAAATTTGTCAGTAAATTAAATTAAAGTTCAGTAACAGGCCTCATATGTGTGTAAACTGGAGAATATTCGATAATTCAGCTCCACTTTAGTTTCTGTATATTAAACTGTGTTTAATAAGAGTTTAATTCTGTCATGTTTCTCGTCTATGAATATATATTTTCATCTCTTACAGTGTCGCTGTAAGTGATAAAGAGAGTTGTTGATCATTTACTGTTATGAATCTATGACTAGTTTTCCATTCATATCTCTGGCTGTAATATGAATATCCTAATATCTCTGGTTGTGTTTTTTCTGAAATGGATCTGCTGATGTGACGTGACATCAGTTTCCTCAGGATCAGCCGATGGTGAATAAGGAGCCGCTACAGAGACACACAGTCACACAATCAACAGAGACTGAAGATAAAGAGACAGACAGAGATCTTGTTTTTATCTTTATGTGGGTCTGTTCTTTTAAATTACAGATTTACACAATGATTTATTAGAGGACCTGAGGTCACTGTATCTTTTAAAACTCAATTTTATAAATTGATGACCCATGAAAATCAGTGCTGAAAAGCACCACTAGCGAGTTGGAATTGTTTTAGATTCACTAGATATTGATTACAATGTAGCTGTAACACTCAATACACTACAAGAAGTCACAAAACTAAAACACTCATTTTAATCAACAAGTCATAAATAAGAAATTCATTGTGCAAAACAGACAACTTGTCGTAATGTGATGATATGATTTATCAGTATAACTTTTTAACATGTTTTCTTATCTTCTGTAAACTCAGAAAAAGGTTTAGAAGTTTGACTTTGAGAAAATAAAGAGCCTGATTACAGATTAAATGTCTCCCAGCAGAGGGAGACAAAGATTATGCAAATGATTTCACTGAAAATTTCTGTCTGTAAAATATTAGTATTATTTAGCAATTTTTATGATGATCTATTAAAGATCTCACCTAAATCTTCATATTATTTTACTGGTTTCATACTTTTCTCCTTCTGTCTTAGAACACAGTTAATTAATAATAATTGCAATGTTGAATCATATTCCTCTTAATGGCATTTCTGAAGCCAAAGCAGTGATGAGACATTCACTCTTTCTTAATTGTTTTAGATTAACCCTGTATGATCCCAGACAAACTCGAGACATCTGTCAATCAACGTATACAGAAAGAACCAGCCGAAGAACAGCAGAGTCATGGTAGAAAGTTTGGAGATGGTATTAAAGTAGCTCAGTTTAAATGTATTGTATGAATTGCTTTTACTATGGAATAAAAAATACAGTGTATATTTAGATTTAGTTAAAAGTGGTTGTAAAACATCAGCTTCAGTGGCGCAGATGGTTAAGCGCTTGACATTGTCTTTATGACCCTATTGACCTGGGTTCAATCCTGCCTTTTGCCAAACTTTTTTTCTCTCCCTTTTCAAATCTCGTATCACATAGTAATGGCATTTATTTTCAATAAAAATTAAGGAAATAATCAAAAAGTTGAAAATAAAGTATCGGGTAGGGTTAGGGTATGTACTACAATACTGAAGTGCAGACAATTGCCACTATTTGCAACAAGTAGTATACTTGATAATATAAATCCTGCTATTTTAACATAGTGTAAATAGGTATTTGCATTTAGTGTAAATAGCATATTGTTAAAAATACTGCTATTTTCACTTAGTGTAAATAGAATCCATTGCTAATACGAGATTTGAAAAGGGAGAAAAAAAAAGTTTGGCAAAAGGCGGGATCGAACCCGGGTCGATCGCGTCAAAAAGCCAATGTCAAGAGCTTAACCACCTGCTCCACTGGAGCTAATATTGTTTGGCCACTTTTAACTAAATGTAAATATACACTCCGTATTTTTAATTCTTATATTTTTTATAATTTCTACCACGACTCTGCTGTTCTTCGGCTGGTTTTTCCTGTATACGTTGATTGACAGATGTCTCGTCCAGTCAGCGGTGAGTAATCCCAAACCAATGGCGCTGTCTCAAACTATACCTACCTCTTCCGGTTTGTCTGATTTGTCATTGTGTTTTCTGACTTGTTATAATGTTTTCTGAATTGTTATTTTGTTTTTTAGACTTGCATTTGCGTTTGTAATTTGTTATTTTGTTTTCAGAATTGTGATTTGTTTTGCACTTCTCAGCCACCGTATTCAGTCAGGGAATACACGTAACGTCACGTGTTTATCGCTCGAGTCACAAATAGAGAGTGAAAGTAAATGCTCAGGTGTTTCGCCATGTATGAATCGATTTACAGTACGGAATATTGAAGTGTTTTATGGGGAGCTTTATAGCTAATGAATTTACCTGTAGCTACTTGACAGTTGAGTGCTCAGATCTCCTGACGCTTTACTGGTGACTTCTGCATATGTTATTAATTTATCTATTTATTTTGTTTATTTCGTTTTTCGTGTTGTCTGTGGTGTATTTTAGCATTCTAACATAGAACTGACATTGTGTATTTGTATTTCATAGAAGCCTTTATGAAAGCTAAGCCATGAATTTACCTGAAGCTACTTATAGAAAAGGCGGAGCACGTTGTTGATATGTAATTCAATATTGATCAAGGTGAGTAGCCTAGGCCTACTTCGAGACAGGTGACTTCTGTAAACGAGAAAAACAGGATCTCAGGATCATGAGGCGTGACACTTATGTTTCTCGAACTCTGGAGCCGTTCAGCTGGATTATGTTTGTTTGTCTTTCCAGAGTCATTGGTGGAGATTCTGTTTCACCTGTTCAGCTCCATCATGGATGACACACATACATCCAGAGATGAAGATTTTTCTCCAGGATGCAGGTACTTGCAATAAACACTGCATTTCTTAACTTTTAAATGATTGAAGATGGTAAGATGTTTGATGATAAATGCTTTAAGGACCTTATAATAAAATCATCATAAAGGATTACCTTTTCTGTTGTAGTTCAGTTCATCAGAAGAGATCAGAACCAGAGCCCAGCTGTGTGTCTATGAGGAGTGACAGGTCTATAGATAATGTAATAGATTTTAAGAGTGGAGGAACACAGACTGATCTCGGGTAAATAATTTCTATGAAAAATATGATTATAGTATTGCATTTTATTTTCTCAGAATAGTATCAATATTCTGTAATATTTTCTACAAGATGAGACATTATTGTTGTACAAGGTTTATAGTTAACCCGTATCTGATATTTTAACAAATACAGTGTTCCACGCACTTTGTAGGTGACCAAATACTTATTTTACCGAGGAATTTACCAATTAATTCTTTAAAAATCCTACAATGTGATTTTCTGGATTTTTTTTCTCATTTTGTCTCTCATAGTTGAGGTATACCTATGATGAAAATTACAGGCCTCTCTCATCTTTTTAAGTGGGAGAACTTGCACAATTGGTGGCTGACTAAATACTTTTTTGCCCCACTGTATGTACACATCTGTGAAAGCACTCAGTTCAATTTAAAAAAATTTATGAACAGTGTCAATTTAAAAAATCAAAAAATGTTTTTTTTAAAGATACATATGTGATTTTTTTTTAAAATACAGTAATTCAAATCATTAACCTTAATCTCTCTTTGTTATAGTTCAGTTCATCAGAAGAGATCAGAACCAGAGCCCAGCTGTGTGTCTATGAGGAGTGACTGCTCTATAGATAATGTAATAGATTTTAAGAGTGGAGATACACAGACCGATCTCAGGTATAACATTTCTACAAATACATGATTATATATGGCAATTTTATTATCAAAATAATATCAGTAAGATGTGGTGGGTTATTGTTGTATATATAGTTATTTTTATCTTATATTTTAACATACAGTGCTTAACAAATTTATTAGGCCACCTGTCATAAAGAGAAAACACAAATATATTAGAAATCTGTCATAAAACTTATTTAAAACTAAAAATTGTATTGTCATTTATTAGGCAAATAACAAATTGAAACAACTAAATAGTCTTTATTCACACATAATAACAAAAAAAATTGTTTATTTTTTTGTATGGCCTCCTTTTGCCTTGATAACAGCTTGCATTCTTGCTGGCATTGTTTTGATGTACTTTTCCACAGTTTCTGTTGTTATTGACTTCCAAATAGTTTCTAGCTGTTCCCAAAGACTTGCTTTTGATTAAACTTTTGTGGGAACTCTCTTTTAATCCATTAAATCCCAACAATAATTATATTTTTGCATTAGAAACACTGCTGTCATTAAAGAGCTTACACATACCGGTGTGGATTAACCATTACAGTAACAAAAAATTATTTTGGTAATCACCAATACTTTTGGGCAGTTGTGACATAAACAATACATTGGGTGGTGGTCTTATAAATTTGTTAAGCATTGTGTGAGACACATCTGTGAAAGCACTCAGTTCAATATACACATTCTTGTAGTAATATAGTGTAAATGAAATAATCATAAAGTGCTCTTTAAAGTGTTTTTAATGATAAATGAATATTTAATTTTTTTAATACAGTAATTGAGTATTTATTTTCATCTCTCTCTGTTATAGTTTAGTCCATCAGAAAAGATCAGAACCAGAGCCCAGCTGTGTATCTATGAAGAGTGACGAGTCTATGGGTCATCAAATACATTTTAAAAGTGGAGATACACAGACTGATCTCAGGTATAACATTTCTGAAAAATATACTGTATGATTTGATTATGATACAGAATACAAACATTGTGCTTAGTATGTTATGTAATAATGTGGTATTTAAATTTTTCTAGCCATGAAGTCCTCAACACATTTAGATCAAATCTGATGAAGAAGTTTGAGTGTCTGTATGAGGGAACAGCAAAGCAGGGAAACCCAACACTCCTGAATGAGATCTACACAGAGCTCTACATCACAGAGAGTGAGAGTGGAGAGATCAGTAATGAGCACGAGGTGAGACAGATTGAGACACAATCCAGGAGAGCAGCAACAGAGGACACACCGATCAAATGCAGTGACATCTTTAGAGCTTTACCTGGACAAGACAAACCCATCAGTACTGTGCTGACAAAGGGAGTCGCTGGCATTGGAAAAACAGTCTCTGTGCAGAAGTTCATCCTGGACTGGGCTGAAGAGAAAGAGAATCAGGACGTCCAGCTCATATTTCCTCTTCCTTTCAGAGAGCTCAATCTGATGAAGGACAAAACACTCAGTCTTTCAGATCTTCTTCAGGTCTTTTTCCCTGAAACAAAAGAAATGAAAATATACAGTGAAAGATATAAAGTGTTGTTCATCTTTGATGGTCTGGACGAGTGTCGTCTGTCTCTGGATTTTCAGAGCGATGTGAGGTTGTGTGATGTAAGTGAATCAGCCTCAGTGGACGTGCTGCTGACGAACCTCATTGTGGGGAATCTGCTTCCCTCTGCTCTCATCTGGATCACCTCCAGACCAGCAGCAGCTGATCTCGTCCCCTCTGAGTGTGTCCATCGAGTGACAGAGGTACGAGGCTTCAATGAGCCACAGAAGGAGGAATACTTCAGGAAGAGAATCAGTGATCAGAGATTTGCTAAAAAAATCATCAAACACCTGAAGTCATCAAGGAGCCTCTTCATCATGTGCCACATCCCAGTGTTCTGCTGGATCTCAGCCGCTGTTCTAGAGAAGATGTTGAGTCGAGCAGAGAGTGGAGAGATTCCCAAGACTCTCACTCAAATGTACACACACTTCCTGATCCTTCAGACCAACATCAAACATGAGAAGGACTATGAGAAGAACGTGACAGATGAAGACATGATCCTCAAACTGGGGAAACTGGCTTTTCAGCAGCTTGTGAAAGGCAATGTGATCTTCTATGAGGAAGACCTGAGAGAGTGTGGCATTGATGTGACAGAAGCATCAGTGTACTCAGGATTGTGCACTCAGATCTTCAGAGAGGAGTTTGGCTTGTATCAGGGGAAAGTCTTCTGCTTTGTTCATCTGAGCATTCAGGAACATCTAGCAGCTCTATATGTGCACCTCTCCTGTACAAACCACAACAGAAATGTGTTTGACCAAATCAACAAACTGAGTTTGCGGTCTAAAGTTAGGGACTTGTTTCGACAAAATTCATCAGATGTTTCATTATTTGCTCTGCATCAGAGAGCTGTGAATGAGGCTCTACAGAGTAAAAATGGACATCTGGATCTTTTCCTGCGGTTTCTTCTGGGTCTGTCACTAAAGTCTCATCAGATTCTCCTACAAGGACTAATGAAACAGAAAAGAAGCAGCTCTGATAGCAATGAGAAAACAGTTGAGTACATCAAGAAGAAGATCAGGACCATTGACTCTCCAGAGAAATCCATCAATCTGTTCCACTGTCTGAATGAACTGGGTGATCATTCACTAGTGGAGGAAATACAACAGTATCTGAAATCTGGAAGAATAGCTGAAGCCAAACTCTCTTCATCTCAGTGGTCAGCTGTAGTTTTTGTGTTGTTGACATCTGAGAAGAAGCTGGACGAGTTTGATATTAATACATTTGTTGGAGGAAACAATAAAAACAAAAAGCTGGAAGTTTTTCAGAAGCTGCTGCCTGTGATTAAAGAATCCAGATCAGTTCAGTAAGTATCACTGAGAACAATCACTTCACTGCTAAAACATTAAGAAAATTACAGTTAAAAGTTCATAAACCTTCAGTGCTGCAGATATTGTCCAGAGTTTAGTGGTTAGTATTTTTTTGTTTTCTATACAGTGACACTGTATGGTTTCTTCAGATGTTCAGGGTCAGAGAAGTCACATATTAATTAATATATCAGGTTTCCATTAAATGTTCTTGCAGAAATAGAAGGAATTTAACCCTCTGGAGTCAGTGGAGGCACCGGCACCAGGGCTCCAGACTGCGACTAAAACAGTCGCATTTGCAAACAAAAATATTGATTTGCAAGTGAAGTTTTTGCTGAGGTTGCCACTGGCAACTAGAGAAATTGACATTTAAAAATTTAGCATGTAATGACTTTTTTTCTGATTGTTTTGCAATCACATCTTTTGTTATGTTGACGTAATAAACTGAGACGATGGGCCTCAGTTTTAGTGGAAAAAAGACTTTCAAACAGTCCTCATCTCTGCCGAACAGCAGCGCTGACGGCACACCTGCTGAAATCAGCTCCAGTTGTGGCGGCATGAGAGAGATCAAAAATGACGGAGACGCATGAAGTAAAAGTGCAGATAAGCAGTGACTATTTTGTGTGCAACTTAAACAAACTACAACAGGTAAACCTGTCAGCTGTGTAGACATTAACAATATATCGTTAACAATTCGTTCATAATCGATACTATGGCTTCTTGTTATCAAGATCTTTATTCTAAATGCTGTGTTCTGTTAATGCGTGAACAATAGGTTACTATTCGTAATGCCGTGCAGCAAGCGTTCTCTTGCAGCAAGCGGGGCAAATTTGGTGGATCTCTCCACTCGATGTTTCAGAGAACTGGGGTTACAAACAGTAACCTATTGCCATAAGAATGCATTACCAGCCATAAGAGAAATGACATGTCGCTCCTCCTTTTATCCTTCCGGAGCTCCTCCGTGGGACTCGAGACCGGTGAGTGGTGCAGGTGTCGCTCATCATCATTTACTCCACTGGCCTCGTTCCGCTCCCACGGTTCTCGGCGCTGCCCCACTTGTCACATAGCCCCCTCGCAGACCGGGGGGTACCCACGAGACTGCGCTCTTCTCCCCCCGAGGACCCCGTCACGGCGGCCGCAGCACCTGGGGGTAAGGACAGACGAGGCGAGAGAAAAGGAGACGGAAGGATGAGGAGAGACAGAGACGAGAGGGGAGAGAGAAGAAAAAGAAAAAAAAACTCGGTCCGGTTCCCGGACACACGGTTACAAACAGTAACCTATTGCCATAAGAATGCATTACCAGCCATAAGAGAAATGACATGTCGCTCCTCCTTTTATCCTTCCGGAGCTCCTCCGTGGGACTCGAGACCGGTGAGTGGTGCAGGTGTCGCTCATCATCATTTACTCCACTGGCCTCGTTCCGCTCCCACGGTTCTCGGCGCTGCCCCACTTGTCACATAGCCCCCTCGCAGACCGGGGGGTACCCACGAGACTGCGCTCTTCTCCCCCCGAGGACCCCGTCACGGCGGCCGCAGCACCTGGGGGTAAGGACAGACGAGGCGAGAGAAAAGGAGACGGAAGGATGAGGAGAGACAGAGACGAGAGGGGAGAGAGAAGAAAAAGAAAAAAAAACTCGGTCCGGTTCCCGGACACACTGCCGCTTGGTCCTCAACCAGCTGAGAGGCTCTCACTCGTGGTGCCATGCGATGGTACTGGACATCTTTGGTGGACGGCCTGATGCTCCCCCGCCTCCTGGCGGACGGCGATGGCTCCTCCTGTTGAGGGCAGCCGGCAGCATGTCCCCCGTTCCCTGCTCCTCCCCAATCATGGTGGACGGCAGCCACCCCTCCTCGACCCAGAAGCGTGGCAGCGAGCCCTCCATCCCACCTCGTCTTCCATCGCTCCAGCACCACCGCCTCGGGCAGCCTCCGGCAGTCTCCGCTTCTTCCTGCTGCCCGATCTCCTCAGCACCGCGATCCCCTTCAGCAGCGAGGGCTCTCTGGCAGCGTGTCCCTCCTACCTCCCGGGTTTCGGCACCAATGTAAAAAAGTTCGTAGATCGGGAAGAAGGTGGCGGGAACCGGCGAACATTTAAACACAAAACTTTAATAAACAAATGAACACCCACAAAGCTAAAGTAAAAGCGGCAGCCCCTCTCGGACGACATAAAGACAACATAAATTCCAGGCCTTGTGCTATCTCGTCTTGCACTGTCGTCGCTCCTCCTTTTATCCTTCTAGAGCTCCTCCGTGGGACTCGAGACCGGTGAGTGGCGCAGGTGTTGCTCATCATCATTTACTCCACCGGCCGCACTCCGCTCCCACGACTCTCGGCCCTGCCCCACTCGTCATAATGCGCTATATTGCATATTCATATTTTTATTTAACCTGTTGACATAAGAAAGAAGGAGCTAAAGGTAAAATTCAACACCTCTTATATAATTGCATGTTACTAATAAAGAAAAACAGACTGGATGTGTGCAGGACATATGACAACATTTATAGGATGCATTGAGGAGGAGCCCAAACTACCCTCAATAACCAAGTGATGCTGAAATAATTATGATCCGTGATATTGGCACAGATTCTGTGTAATAATCAATTCTTTGAGACTATATAGTTCTAAATTTGGAAAAGACATTTAGTTCCCAATTTAAGTGAACCTTAGTTCCCAGGACATCTACAATATGGATTAAAATGCTGATAAAGACAAGAAAAGATGAGACATAAACACATGACAGTATGACTGAAATGTTAAAGTGTTAAAAAAATAATAATAATAGACGTTTATTCTGTGGCACCTAAAAAAAATAATTTGGCGCCTATTGTTTCTTATAGGAGCCAATGGCTCCTTAATTAATTTTTTTGTCTGGAGCCCTGGGCACAGTTGTGTGCATTTTTTCCAGCAGAAGAAAGAACTCGGTCATTAAAATGCTCAGTCATTTTTGGTCATACAGATCAAAGTAATATGCCATTCAAAACTCTAAAGGGGCTCCTTGTATGTGTGCACACTCACAATAGCATCAAAACCTTCTTGTAAAATAAAGAAAACAAACAAGATGTGCTTTCTGCCATCTCAGACTGCAGAGAACCTCACAGGCATGATAAATATGTCCATAGAAAGCTTGAAATATCTACTTGTAAATGAACCAATTCAAATGGAAAACAAATATTCTCTAATTATGTAATCCATATGAAAACAATGAGAGGTGCAGTCATTCTCGTCTGAGCTCATTATCTGTAATGTGGTCATAGCCACGTGCAGTGCTGACTATTTATAACGGTAATCATCCATGTGAGTTGCATGAACATGTAAATGCCCCCATCACCTCAATAAAACAAAGCATCAAGATTCATCACATAAAAATACCATCTTATTTTCTGTTTTGAGTGGAAAATATTAGTATTAATGATAGCTAATGTTAATAGTATAGCTGTTCCTGATATATACACATGCTCACAGTTGTTTGCTTTTTTTTTTTTATTACAGGGAACACATTGTAACTTGGCTTCACCGCCACAACCGCGGTGTCCTAGTCAGAGACAGCCACTGTGGTGTTTGGAGTTATTTTAAGTTCATAGTGTTTACAACTATAATTTTCATCTTTCTACAGGTTAAGTGATTGTGGTCTCACAGATGAAGGTTGTGCTGCTCTGGCTTCAGCTCTGAGATCAAACCCCTCACACCTGAGACAACTCAATCTGTCTGGGAATGAAATGGGAAATTCAGTGAATCTGCTCTCTGTTGTACTGGAGGATCCTCACTGTAAACTGGAGATACTGCAGTAAGATCATATATGACTCTCACACATAAAACACAATGTAAAGTATATCTGAAGAGTTCAGCCTCTTTCTGCTGCTGTGAGTTCAGCTGATTGAGCTGTAAATGATTGAACACATGAGCTGCTCTTCAGTAACAGAATACTGCAGGACTGAGAGTCACACTGAAACACAATCAACATTTCAGTCTCTAGACTTTAAAAGACTTGAGCTCAAAACAGTCAGAACTGACTCTTAAGAAATAAAGAACATGTTGGATTCATTCTTACTGTTCATCATCATTATCCTTCTGCAGTGACTGTTTTTGAAATATCGTAACATAGTAAATCTTAGCCATGTAATGAATAGTATCACTATAAAACAGATTTTGCATCAAAATATTGCTTTTAAAAATATTTATCCTGCTTGAATTAGACTATTTTATGATCTTATTTTGTGCAGTCGTGGCCTAATGGTTAGAGAGTTGGACTTGTAACCCAAAGGTTATTGTAGATGGGGGGAGTGAATTTACAGCACTCTCTTCCACCCTCAATACCACGACTGAGGTGAGACCCTTGAGCAAGGCACAGAACCCCCAACTGCTCCCCGGCAGCCACAAAAAAAAAAGGCTGCCCACCTGTTCCGGGTGTGTGTTCACAGTGTGTGTGTGTGTGTGTGTGTCTTCACATAGGATAAATGCAGAGCATTTGTATGGGACACACATCATGTCACTTTCACTTTCTCTTTCACTTGACTGGTCTAATCTGAAAGAGTGAAGACTCTTGTGTCATTGTTCTCTGCAGGTTAAATGTCTGTGGTCTCACAGATGAAGGTTGTGCTACTCTGGCTTCAGCTCTGAGATCAAACCCTTCACACCTGAGAGATCTGAATCTGTCTGGGAATAAAATAGGAGACTCGGGCGTGAATCTTCTCTGTTCTGCACTTGAAGATCCTCACTGTGAACTGGAGATACTTGGGTAAGATCATCTCTTTAATGGTCACACATGTCCTCAGTAAGACATGAAGACTAAAATCCACAGTGTACGCTGATATTTTAAACCAATGTTGTGCTTACTTTAATTATTTTCTAACTCCAGTATAAGTAACCTCAAATTTGTTAAAAGGTATGGTCACACATGTCCTCAGTAAGACATGAAGACTAAAATCCACAGTGTACGCTGATATTTTAAACCAATGTTGTGCTTTAATTATTTTCTAACTCCAGTATAAGTAACCTCAAATTTGTTAAAGGGGTCATATGATGCAATTTCAAGTTTTCCTGTCTCTTTGGAGTGTTACAAGCTCTTGGTGCATAAAGAAGATCTGTAAAGTTGCAAAGACTAAAGTCTCAAATCCAAAGAGATATTCTTTATAAAAGTTAAGAGTCAACCACGCCTACCTAAAATGGCTCGTTTTAACACGCCCCCACATATCTACCTCACTATGTGGAAATATTAGCATAATGCCGCCCAAATGTGCACGCAAAGAAAGAAGGCGTGGTTTCAGTAACCGCAGTTAGTGTTGATGCAGCATGTCAGGGAGACGCTGTGTGTTTCAGTGTGAAAGCAAAAGCACTTTATTTGGCCTTCCAGAAGTAGATGCAATTAGGAATCATTGGTTAAGATTTATTTACAACAGAACAGCACAACCCAGATGTTCGAATTTGTGCAACGCATTTTATGGACAACAGTTTTTTAAACCTAGAAGAGTACAAGGCTGACTGTGCACAAAGATCACAAATGTTCATAAATGCGGGGTTTTGCACAGTGCAGAGTAAGGCGTCGTGTGTGTGTGTGTGTGTGAGGGGAACAGGGTCACATCACAGAAGAGTGAACTGCCTGTCAGAAATCATAGCACGTCAGCTGTCTTAACCGCGGCTTGTGTACTGCATCATCACTGTGTCTGTCACGCGACTCTGTTGCCCTTTCGGGCTTGAACTGATGGTAAAACTAACGACATTATTAACTGTCTTGATATTTACTTTGAAAGCTGAAGCAGCGATTATGGTAAGGGGCGTTACATATCCGACACGTGCTTGTGGTGTTCGGCCAATCACAATGCACTGGGTCAGCTGGCCAATCAGAGCAGACTGCGCTTGTCGGAAGGAGGGACTTTGTAGAAAACGAAGCGTTTGAGAGAGGCGGGGCATAGAGGACCTACAATAATGTACAGTATTTGAAAAATAATGTGTTTTTTGAACATTAAAGCATGTCAACATATTCTGTTACACCAAATACACAAAATAATGATCTTTAAAATAGCATCATATGACCCCTTTAATATGTAACATCTTATTGTTTGAAGATACTCAAAAAAAATTAACCTCCATGTTCAGATGACAATAAAGTGTAAAATAGTGATCCAGGGCCTCTGCACCCTACTGCAGAGGATGACTCACTCAGAGATTGAGTTCAACAATCTAAATGTGTTGGTTTAGCTCTCTTAACAAACAAAGTTGATTAAGTAACACTCTTAAATATATGAGCCAAACACTGTATGGAAACACATATATGCAGTTTCCTTTTCCTCTTAAATCCTTAGCAAAGCATTAAGAAGGAAAGTAGAGCAAAGTGAAATACAAACACCAAAGACCAAAAAGCTGGAGGTATATGGGTGATGATCTGGAGGAAATTAAGCTCATTAACATTTGCCATTTGTTGCATCCAGTGGGGACATAATTACGGATTATAATGACTTGTACTGTCTTTTTACGCGTTGCGTTGCATCGTGCCACGTAAACATAAAACCATGTCTGCATTTGTGATCGGAGAAACTACAAACAACAAGCGCTACTCTACACTGCTCAAAATTCACGTTTGAATCATCAGTGGCAAATTCTTTAAATATGAAAACGTGCTTACAGTCTGTGAGTCAGAACAGCCGGCATTGTAGTCTACTCTCCCAGGATCAGGAAACAGCCCTCCATAAAATGTGCAGCACACATCTGAATATTTGGGTTGAACTGTTCTGGAACAGTGTTGTAAATACAACTTAATCACTGGTTTCTAGTCGTGTCCTCTTTTGGAAGGCCAAACAAAGTAGTTTCGCTTTCACAAGGAAACACACGGCAGGCTTGAGAACGGCGCGGCCGGTGGATGCAACGAAGGAGCGGCCGGTGGGCTTGCGGCAACCACATGTGACGACGGGCTGGACTTCGTCCACGGTGAAAGCCGATCCGGTGATCCACAGCGCGAAGTTGATGTATTTCCTCAGCGACCAGCACAGATCAGCTCTAGGCATGACAAAGCGGATATCGTCCTCTTTTGGAAGACCAAACAAAGTAGTTTCACTTTCACAACGAAACACACAGTGTCTTCACGACATGGCGGCAGCAACAATACTACAGTGAGAATAAAAGTTACGCCTTCTTTCTTTGCGTGAACATTTGGGCGGCGTTATGCAAATCTTCCCACATCATGATGTAGACATGTGGGGGCGTGTTTGAACGAGCCGTTTTAGGTAGACGTGGTTGACTCTTAACTTTTATAAAGAATATCTCTTTGAATTTGAGACGTTAGTCTTTGTAACATTACAGATCTTCTTTATGCACCAAGAGCTTGTAACACTCCAAAGAGAAAGGAACCATTTAAATTGCATCATATGACCCCTTTAAGCACTGTATATAGCTACATAGTTTTGTGATGATTTGAACCAAAAATAAAACTTACAAACTCACTCGTTTACCCCTCTCTTGATTGCCAACGGCTGCAAAGTACAATGGGAAAGCGCAAGGCTGATGCTCCGTTGCGGATTCACACATCCATGAGTGAGGCAGTTTCACTTCAGTTGAAGAGACACGAGTTGCGCGCCATCTGCACAGCATGCTCAGTAATATATGGGCGTCGAAATGAAAACACACGGGTTCACGCAGTATGTCTGAATCCGGCAACAGATCGCGCATCCGCTGAATCATGCAGGAGAAAATAAAAAAAATTCAACAAAACATGCAGGGAACTTAGTATGTTCTGATGAAAGTGTATATAGGTCATGGCTAGATAGACATTTGATAATGCATCGCTTGTCTTACCGGAGAAAATTTATTTGCGCTGTGCCCCCTTGGACATGGTGCTTCTGGACACTTGCCCAATTGCCCATATGGTTAATCTGCCTATGGTAATGGTGAACATGTGGGACCTATGAAGCAAATGTCCTCCTGTAGGTGCAAGTGACTCTTTCTCTGTCTCTTTCTCTGTTCTGTCCAAGTTGGACTATTGCAATGCTCTCTTGGCAGGTCTTCCAGCCACTTCTATCAAACCTCTACAGCTAATCCAGAATGCGGCTGCAAGATTAGTCTTTAACGAGCCGAAAAGAGTGCATGTCACACTTCTGTTCATCAATTTGCACTGGCTACCATTAGCTACTCACATAAAATGCAAGGCATTGATGTTTGCCTGCAAAACAACCACTGGCTCTGCACCCCTTTACCTAAATTCACTACTTCAGACTTATTTTACCTCCAGGAGCTTGCATTCTACAAGTGAATGGCGCATTTTAGTGTCACCCAAAAAAGGCACAAAATCACTTTCACAGAATTATACCTTAACTGTTCCCTGCTGGTGGAATGACCTGCCCAACTCAATCCGAGCAGCTGAGTCCTTAACCATCTTCAAGAAACTGCTAAAAACACATCTCTTCCATCTACACTTGACCCTCTAACTCTAGCACTCTATTCTATTTTATCTGCTTGTTTTCTTTTTTTTTTATAAAAAAAAAACTTGTCCCTCTAATACTTGCACTCTACTCTATTTTTATTCTAACTACCTGTTTTCTTTTTAATTAAAAAAAAGACCCTCTAACACTAGCGTTCTCTTTTCTTTTTCTATTCTGTCTACTTGTTTTCTTTTTATTTATTATTTAAAAAAAACTTGCTACGTGTACTGCGTTAGACTAACCAAGACTTGTCATAGCACTTACATATTATTGGTCTTTTGTTGGTTTTGATTGCTTCTATTGTCCTCATTTGTAATGCTGGGTACACACTAAAATATTTTTTAAATCTTATATGATTTTCAAAATGTGAGAGACCACAAACATGAGGAACACCGAACACCCCAAACAAAATCGTTTTGCTCCTATAGTATGTGGTGTGCCACGATGTGACAAAGACAGCACACCACACACCAACAGATTTTCAACCAGAGTCCCGACTGTGAACACGGGAATTCTCTCGAGACTTGAGAATAAACATGTCGAATGATTGGCAGGAAGAAATTGCGATGATAGTGTTTGGAATGATTTTGACAAAAAATTCATAGAAAAGGGTTTGGGTGAAGTCGTGGAGATGACGGGAAGCTGATCCTCCATCTCTGCTGTCCAAATCCATTTAACTTTGTGCTGTGGCATGACTGCATTTGCTATGTTTCCGTCTTCTGTCAGCTAGCTTTCTGAGTGGATATTGTTTCGTTTCACGTGATGATCTCCAGATCGTATGTGCGTTTGTCCTCGGGGTTCCCACCACACATCAGAATGTGCTGAATATTTACGATTTGTGATCGGGGCGCCTCCGACGTTCTTCTGAGCAGATTCAGTCACTCTTAACACACCTCACACCACAGGAAAATCTGATAAGATAATCTTTAGAACCACCAAGATAATCGGGACATTACCTAGGATTGTCGGAAGGGGAGAAATCTGCCCAAAATGAGCCCGATTATCTTATGGTGTGTACCCAGCATAAGTCGCTTTGGATAAAAGCGTCTTCTAAATGTAAGTGTAAATTCACATTGTGTCATTGTTCTCTTCAGGTTGTGTTATTGTAGCATCACAGATGAAGGTTGTGCTGCTCTGGCTTCAGCTCTGAGATCAAACCCCTCACACCTAAGAGATCTGGATCTGTCTGGAAATAAACTAGAACAATCAGGTGTGAAGTTGCTCTCTGATCTGAAGGATGATTCGCATTATAAACTGGAGACATTATACTATTGTGAGTGTATTTTTTAAGCTTTTACAATCACCCAAGTTTAGTGACAGGCCTTACATTTGTGTGATTGGAGAATATAAGATGACAATTCAACTCAGTCTCTGTACTTTAAACAAGAAAAAAGTTTAATTCTGTGATGTGACTAATCTATGAATTTTAATGAATAGATTTATGAATATATGAATATCTGTATGTAAGTGATAGAGAGTTGTTAATCATTTACTGTATTAATTCATATCTCAGGTTTTTTCTGAAATTGATCTGCTGATGTGATGTGACGGCAGTAATGTCTCATACTCATATGTGTCTGTCTGTGTGTTTTATTGTAGGACTCTCAGTATTTAGACGTCAGTCCAGTTTCCTCAGGATCAGCCGATGGTGAATAAGGAGCCGCTACAGAGACACACAGTCACATAATCAACAGAGACCGAAGACACAGAGACACAGGGTTCACATCACATTCTTGTTTTTCCTGTTCTTTTGAATTACTGATGTCATCAGATTTACACTATGATTTACTATAGGACCTGAATTTAATGTATAATTTAAGGCTCAATTTTGTATTTGATGGCCCATGAATGGGTGTTTAAAAGCAATGTCAGCAATTTGGGATTGTTTTGAATTTTCCAGATATTGATTACAATGTAGATGATGGTACTGTAAAATCGAATATATACTGCAAGGAAGTGACAAAAGTAAAAAAAAATGTAATCAACAAGCCATAGACAGTGTATATAAGAGATGTATTGTGCAATACAGACAGTTTATTTATTATAATTGGTGAATTAGATCCATTTATCAGTGTAGCACTTTTTTACATATTTACTTTTAATATAAATTTAGGAGAAGGTGACACGTTTTGTTTACGAGAGCATAAAGAGTTTGACTTCTGAAGAGAAATCAATATTTAGAAATAATATGAATTTAGAAAATGTTTTACAAGTTGTACTTTGAGAAGAGAGAGGTGCTTTAATTATTATTACTATTATTATTAAATATACCTAACAGCACAGAGCAACAAAGATAACGCAAATGATTTCACTGAACATTTATTTATAACATTTTATTATTTACTTTTTTAACATATGTTGATCTGTCAAAATGATCTATTAAAGTGGACAGATGGCTGAACAATTTTCAGTTTTGGTTGAATACAAAAGTGGAGTCTTTGCATCCATCCTGTTGTTTTCTTCACTTTTCTGAGACAATAAAGTTATTAAAGTATAATAAACGATTACAGTTTTTTTGTTACCAATTTTTTTTTAATGTCGGTGAAACTTAATTTCTTTTGTGTTGCGATTTCGTTTTTACAAAAATGTCCACTTGAATCAAATCATTGCTTACTGCAAGTTTCACTCCACATAATATATCTATTTGGAATAACTGCTCTATCTTATTTAGAATTAAATAACTTTTTTAGAGATTGGACGGAGAATAGAAGACCCCACATTTCACAGAACACACCTTTTGGCTCATAGTTTTGTGTACTTTCGCTGTCCTTTTGGATTTTGGAACAAAGCGTTCCAGAATTTTATTTTGTAAATGTATTATATTTGAGACTGATCTGGCTCCATATTCCAGCTTCAGAGCACGAGGTGTTGAATCACCGAAAAAGCTGATTTGTGTGAAGGTAAAACAGTGTAAAAGCATGTAACACATAAACCAAAAATGAACAAAGCTTAATTTGTTTGTAGTCATAATTAGATCATATTATTGAATGAATACAAATATTATAATAAAAAGGCCACAGAAAAAAAATAAGCATGTCAAAATTATCCACAAATAGGGAGTTTTAATATGTTTTCTGAGTGTAAATCTAGTCTAATTAAAAATTATATATGTAGCCTTTGACAGTGACAGATACCGTTAAGACAGTGAAAAACAAGACATGTGTCCTGTCATGAACACTTAATAACTGTGGAACACACAACACTATTTATGCACTCGTACACTTATTTATCTAACACTCATACTCAGTCTACACCTTTTATTTTCACAAAAATATACCTGTACATACAAAACTGTCTATTGTAATATACCTGCACATACAATTTTTTATTCCTTATTTACTTGTTCTATTATTATTTTTTTTATTATTATCTGTGTTTTTTGTTCTGTCACTGTCATTCTGTTACACTGTGGAAGCTTCTGTCACGGAAACTAATTCCTCGTATGTGTAAACATACCTGGCAATAAAGCTGATTCTGATTCTGATTCTGATTCTGAATTTAAATATGCTTCCGTCAGACTCTTATTTTGAAATGAACCTCAGGAGTACCGAGCGTCACCCGGAAACACTCAGAGCAGTCGGTGCTCATGCTTTACACTGACGTTATATATACCGTTAAGACAGTGAAAAACAAGACATGTGTCCTGTCATGAACACTTAATAACTGTGGAACACACAACACTATTTATGCACTCGTACACTTATTTATCTAACACTCATACTCAGTCTACACCTTTTATTTTCACAAAAATATACCTGTACATACAAAACTGTCTATTGTAATATACCTGCACATACAATTTTTTATTCCTTATTTACTTGTTCTATTATTATTTTTTTTATTATTATCTGTGTTTTTTGTTCTGTCACTGTCATTCTGTTGCACTGTGGAAGCTTCTGTCACGGAAACTAATTCCTCGTATGTGTAAACACACCTGACAATAAAGCTGATTCTGATTCTGAATTTAAATATGCTTCCGTCAGACTCTTATTTTGAAATGAACCTCAGGAGTACCGAGCGTCACCCGGAAACACTCAGAGCAGTCGGTGCTCATGCTTTACACTGACGTTATAATGCAATTTGTGTCGCTACAAACTATTTAATTACGGGAATTTGGATGGATGAAATTCCCTTTACAGAGTTTTAAATGAATTGCGTGGCTTCGTAAGTTTACTTCAACTGTTTTCGACATGTTTTTCGTCTGAAAATAACAGCTGAAAAAATAATTTGCATTTTCAGTGGATTTAACGTCTAATATTAATTGTATACTAATTAAATAGATGCCACTTTATTACTTTTCTCAAAGTATTTTGTATTGGAGAGCGGTATTTGCTGATACAGTCATAAACGACCTTCTGTCATCACAAGAGTCAATCATTGGTGTTTATTTATTTATTTTTTTATAATAAATGTATGTTTTATTATTATGTGCTGTTAATATACATGCTATTATTGTAACTGATATATTGAAATTGTATTGTTAATGTTGCCATGAATATAGCCATTGTTGCTGATATGGCGTTAAAACATAAATAAATAAATGCATACGTAATCTGCAGAAAGTAAGAAGGAAGAGAGCTTAGTGACGAATCCTGCTGAGCAAGCGCTGGACGAAGAGAAAGAGAACAAGGAGAATGAGAAGAGCAGCTCAAGTCATGATGAGAGTCCAAAAAGACAGAAAGCAGCATCCGCAGGAAGCTCTGGTGCCGTGAGCGTCAGGGGTCTCGGTAATCTGGGAAACACGTGCTTCTTCAATGCAGTCATGCAGGTGCAGAATATAAAACACTTCACATGACAAACAGAAACACGCATGCATGCTCTGCTAACCCTGATGTTCTCGTCTTCCTCTCAGAATTTATCACAGACGCAGTTTTTGCGAGAATTGCCGAACCAGATCACAGATGAGAAGAGCTGCTTCACCATCACACCTGCACTGTCATCTGAGCTGGTACTGATGCTGAGCCACATTATGTTCTTCTCTGGCTCACTTTATGAATAAAGCTTCATCTAACAGGATGCTTTCACATTATGTTTTTTTAGGGACCTCTTCAGGTCCAGCTGGAAAGGCCCGGGTCGCTCACGCTGGCTATGTGTCAGTTTCTGAATGAAATCCATGAGACCAAGAAAGGTGTCGTGACCCCGAAAGAACTCTTCACACAAGTGTGTAAAAAGTAAGTAGCCAAACAAAAGTGTTCCCAGCGCAGACGCCTCATGTAATAAGAACAATGTTCTGTCCTCAAAAGATTTTATTTCATATATGTAGTCTTTTGGTTGCTAGTTTGGTCATGATGATCTTGTGAGAGACTGGATTATATATGTCTCAATCTCTTTTGACTGACTTTTCACTTTTACAGTAGATAAAATGATAGAAAGCCTCCAAAAATAATTCAAACAGATTTTACCCTACATTCAAAAGTTTGGGGTCATTAAAATTAGGTCAGTTTTATTTTTTTAAACAACTGACTACTTTTAGGGTATGTTCACACTTGTAGTTCCGGACCAAAAAGGAAAATGATGAAACATTTGGTTCTAGTCCGCTTAGCGTTCACATTGGCATATTTGACAGCGAACCTAAAGACACCGAACCTAAAGGCATAGTGAGACGTTCACAACCTGATTGGTCCGCTTGAATGACGTTTATATCGTGATGGAACTCATCAAACACCCCAAACAAAAGGTGCGTTAGACTTAAAGCGGCCTGCGGGTGTATGATATCAAAGCACCAATTAACCGATCGGTCCGACCTGCGCTGCTTTAAGTTGAACACACGTAATGCCGTCTGCTGGACTAAGCGCGCTCATTCTTGCGTGTACATATAATTTTATTTTCACCACCTGCAAACTCACAAGGAGCTCATAAAAGGCACTTTACCTCATCGTTGCTCCACGTTTGCCCTCTGCTCATTTTAGTTTGGTTACACTGCGTCATCAAATCATATCGCATAGCGTCGCATCTTGTCATTACCTCCTGTTTTTGGTTCGTTTAGAAGTATTTGGTCCGTGTTGCGTTCATATATCTTTTGAACCGCACCAGAGTTCGTTTGGAAGCGGACCGAAACCCATCTTTTTAGCAGGTCTCGGTCCGCTTGTTTGGTGCGCACCAGGGTTCGGATGGCAGCGTTCACACATGCTCAAATGAACCGCACTAACAGAGCAATCGCACCAGGGTTTGTTTCAATCGAACCAAACATGCCAAGTGTGAACGCACCCTATATATGTCTCATTCTCTTTTGACTTACTTTTCACTTTTACAGTAGATAAAATGTCAGAAAGCCTCCAAAAATAATTCAAACAAATTTTACCCTACATTCAAAAGTTTGGGGTCATTAAAATTAGGTCAGTTCTATTTTTTTGAAACAACTGACTACTTTTAGTCAGCAAAAATGCAATAACATGATCAAAAGTGACAGAAAAGTCATAAATACTGCAAACGATTTCTATTTCAAATAAATGCTGTTCTTTTGAAATTTCTTGAAAATGATCCCAAATCAGCATATTAGAATGATTTCTGAAGGATCATGTGACACTGAAGACTGGAGTAATGATACTGAAAATTCAGCTTTGCATCACAGGAATAAATTCTATTTTTGAATATATTAAAATGGAAAACAGTTCTATTAAATTGCAATAATATTTTACAATATACATGTTTTTGTCTGTGTTCTGTATATTAAATAAATGCAGTCTTTCTTGTTATCTGTTGTTCACAGAGCTCCACGATTTAAAGGCTTTCAGCAGCAGGACAGTCAGGAGCTTCTGCGGTACCTTCTGGACGGCATGAGGGCAGAAGAAGTGAAAGTATGAACCTCTAACACAGCCTTGAAGAAATGTGCATCATCTTAGCAGTGGACTCATGTCTGCTCGTTTCCTGTCATTTCATTTGACTATAAAGAATCTTTGAGACATTTTAGTGTAATTGAGTCCTCCTGCTGTTTATTTATTCCCTGTATTTTCCAGAGAGTTAATTCTGGAATTCTGGAGGCTTTGAAAAACTCTGGCAAAAGCTTCGAGGCAGAGCAGATGAAGAAGGTTATTAAAGGTACAAGTCATTATCAGATTACCAGAATGGCAAATGATATATTTTCATGTAATGTTAAAGCATGATTAAAATTATATCTATAGCTTTAAATTTTCTCTTGCATCGTTTTCACCAGAGTACGAGAAAAACGGTGCACCCAAGAACTTTGTGGACCGAGTGTTTGGTGGAGAGATGAGCAGCACAGTGATGTGTAAAGAGTGCAGAACTGTGTCTCTGGTGACAGAGATGTTTCTGGATCTTTCTCTTCCTGTAGCTGATGAGGTGAGCTTCATATAGCCGCTTTATCCCTCATGTGAATATTCTGGGAAAGTGAACTGATTTGAGTGTTTCCTCCAGGCCTACAGGAAGAAGAATCAGAAGAAGGCCACCCAGTATCGCAGCAGCGTCAGTGAGGATGGAGACCGAGAAAACACAGCATCTCTGGCCAATGGGAATGAAGACATGCCTACAGGAACAGGAAGCAAGTACCAGCAGAAGAAAGCAAAAAAACAGGCCAAGAAACAAGCCAAGGTAAAGACACACACACTTTGTAATTACGTCTGTTATAATTAGTGAAACTCATATATATATTGACCAGGCTGTTTAATATGGCCATTTAGTGTTAACAGCTTTTTGTGTGAATTGAGTATATATTGTTTAAAATAAATGTTAATTTAATTCCAAATCTAGTATGTATATATCACAATTATATGAGCCAGAATTAAATAGCAAAAAGTTTATTATTTAGCTGATGAACAGACATTTTAGCTCCGAATCTTAATTTTTTTGAGAATTTTGAGTAAATATTATGTAAAATAATGTTCTTTAAATCTCATTGAAATCTATTATGTATATATTGCCTTTATATAGCCATTTATTAATAATTGCTTTGGCCGATTAATGCACATTTTAGCCTCAACTGTTCTTATTTTTTAGTGAATTTTGAGGAAAATATGTTAAATAAATGCTCACTTCATTAAATTCTATTATGTATATATCACCATTATATAAGCTAGAATTAAATAGGTAAATATTACTATTTATTATTAATTGCCGTTTCAAACTCTAATGACACCCTGCCTGAATTTTCTGAATTTTCATAATTAAGTTTTTTATTTTTTGTCCCAAATTGTTTTCCACATATCATGTTCCAGTAACATCATTTTCAAAATATAAAGTAGAATTCCGATGATGTGAGATACAGCTATGAAACGCTGGTCGCACGAGTGTGCAGATTAGAAAGTGTTTTGCACGCTCTGAAACTCACCACCTTCTGTCTGGAGACGGACAGAGAACTCAATCCATCCCACAAGGGTCAGTTTTCAGTGTGTGAATCTAAAAGTGAATTATGCATTACAACAGCATGAAAAATGGATATTTGAGATACATTACATTGAAGTGAAAGTGACGTGACATGTGGCCAAGTATGGTGACCCATACTCTGCATTTAACCCATCCAAAGTGCACACACACAGCAGTGAACACACACACACACAGGGTTATGAGTCCAACTCTCTAACCATTAGGCCACGACTTCCCTAAATCGTGGGATTTAGGCCACATTTAGGCCATTAGGCCACGATTTCCCTAAACCTAAAATTAACAGTGTTATTAAATTATTTGTGTTTTTAAAGATTGACTTTAGATGAGCATTAAATGAAATTGATATACACATAATTCATAGTGTAAACATTTTGGGGTCAAATATGGCAGAGACATGACTTTACAGTCTTGAGATTCACTCATTTATTTAGAAAATGTAAAACCAAACTGATTTATTTTCAGAACTGTATATTGATTTTATATTGCAATAAATACCTGTAATAATAATTGTGAGCAAAACCTAACAAAATCTTCTAAAACTTACATTTTATACTGTAAAAACAGTATAAAATAGTCATTTTTTAACATTATAAAAATGCAGAAAGATTTCTGCTAAGGTTTCTATAAGATTATTATATTTATAATTAGCTGTATATGAAAACAATAAAAGTCTATGCAGTGTCCCATTTACATAACTAAGTAAAGGTGTGTGTGTAAGAGATTTTCACATGAATTTTGTCAGCGTGCGTCTGTGGGAGCAGTTTCCAGTTTGTAATGTCCCTCTGTGTGTAGCGCGTCTGCAGGAGCGATTAGCCGCGCTGCAGGAGCAGCATGAGGAGGAGCAGTGCTCTTCACGGCGGGAGGTGCTGCAGTTACAGGATGAGCTGCAGCAGGCCTGTGAGCAGAGACAGGAGGCGCAGCGGGAGGTGCTCAGACTCATGGAGGCGCTGGAGAACATCACCCCCGCTAAAGTAAAAGAGCTCATGGACTCATATTAATTAAGAGATTACATGCAATATTTGTGCTTTTAATATTTATTGGATATTTATAAGGATTATTAAATTAACTGCAAAAAAATCCAAAGATAATAATAAAAAAAAAATCACCATTAGTTTTTCAGGTGAAATGGTAACTAGTATTTATTTATAAATAAATAAATAAAAACATTAAACATGCATTTTTAGCAGTGTTTTTTAGTATCATGTATATGCTATTGTAGTTTTATTAATTAATTTAATATATAAATTATTATTTTATATTTGCAATTTTTATTTTAGATGAATTTTTAGTAATTCTGTTCTGTGCATTTTTTATATATATTTTAATATTAGTTTTTTTT